TTACTTTATGATAAAATTATTTTTGTGTGTTTACTGGCAAAATATAAAGGATACTTTTTGAGATGTTGCTGTACAAAAGTTAGCTTTTAGGCTGGGTTGAAATTGGAGTGGCTCACTGTCTTTTTTTTCTTTTTTTACTGTCTCTTTTCCAATGTACACATGTTGAGAGGAGTCTCGTGTTTGTTTGTTTTTTTATTAGTGAAAGATAATGTATTACCTAAATATTTATTTAGTATGGAAGAGTAATATTTGTGGTTGAAAATTGTTTTTAAGTGCATTACATTTGAACTAGACAGTATTTAACTAAAATTTTTGCTACTGCAATCAAACAATGAGTATTTTATAAAGAGGTAGAACTTAACCAAAAGAAATATTTTTTTGTTATTGTGAACCTTTTTGCTAAGTGCTACATTTATAAATCAAATGTTGTTGACTCAGGCTAGCAATTAGATTTATTTGTGTCTTTAAGAATAAAAAGTTTTTATTAATCATTGGTAACATACGCTTTTTACTTAGAGTCAAGAGAACAGTAGTCCTATGTTTCACTTAATATGAAATCAGTTGTTTTTTCCTCATGGACAGCTCATAAATCAAATTTTATTTTTAGACGGTTTAGGGAAAGCCATTTTTGTATTTTATGTGAATTTTACAGCTTTATCGAAAATCTGATTTGGTTATTTACCTAAACTGTTTGTGATGTTGGTCATTTTGAATATAACAGATCAGTCACAGATTATTTTTAATTAAAATATTTATTTTTGCATTTTAAAACTGTCTCAAATGTGAAATCTGGGTTTGAGAAAGGACCTACATACAGATCAACATGAGAAACAGTGATTATGCAGCTTTCTTTATTCTAAACTGAAGAAGAGAGAGAATTTTGTAGCAACTATTAGATGATTGCTCAATCTAGAGTTAATCCAAAGTAATAAACATTCTTGGTCCTGAAGTTTGTTATTGAGAAAGATTATATTGAGTAATCACACCTGTGTTATAGCCAATGTGGCTGCAGCATTTAAGGTCTGATCCAATGGTAGAAAGCAAAGTAATATATTAGTGGGATTGAGTTAGTTTTGGTTTGTAGTATCTATAAGATAATTTTAAAGTAAGTTCACATAATTACATTATCTAACATTTTATCTGAGACCAGAAAATTTATAAAAATTTTATTCTATGTTGACTTGTTTTCAAAAGATATTTAAGACATTTTTTTTATTTAAAGACAAACAGAATTTTCCTTGATTTCCATTTTTTTCACTGTTGGTCCAAGGGTAAGGTAAAGCCTAGTATCAATAATGGTTTTTAGCAAAAAAATGAGGAATGATTGGTTAAAAGAATTAACCATTATCACTTAGGATAATTATCAAGAAAAAAAACCAGTTTTGCTTTTTTCAGAAATTCACATATCAGGAGACTATATATGAGAAAGATAAAATCTTCTAATACTATTTTTCCTACTTCAGAATAATAATGAAATTTAATAGTTTCTATTTTTGAGAGACCTCTTGAATTTCTTTTATGCTGCTTTATATGTTGTTTAAAGAAAGACAGTACAGAATTTGAAAACCCATTTCCTTTTCAATAGTGTGACAAAAGATAGAAGATTCTTGATGTGACTGGTGGGACTGTGCTTCAGCAGCCATAAACTAATTGGGAGGATGGTCTGATTTAATCTGCTACATACTATTCTCCAGAAGATAAGATTGTTCCATGTTTGCTTTTCTGCTTCTCTTTTAAAGGTGTATAATTGGTTGAATTGACACAGCCTTATTACATCTTACCATTAAGCCCCCACTAAAACAATATTTTTGAATTTATTGGAGTGACTGGTTAATAAAATTTATATAGGCTTCCAGTGTACAGTTTTATAATACATCATCTTTATATTGTATTGTGTGCTCATCACCCAAAGTCTAGTCTCCTTCCATCACCATTTATCTCCAATACAAAAAAATAATATTTTTGAAGCACAGACAAAAGATTAATTATTTGTCTTGCACCATTTATTTCTACTTTTCAAAAGCCTGTTGTTTCAGGGTTTGTTTGGCTATAAGGAAAAGAAATCAGCCCCAACTAGCTTAAATAAAAGATTTGTTATAAAGCTATAGGGAATTCTCACAGAACTTATTTAAGGAAAGTACAATTGGGCCTCACAGGAATTGAGAAGGGGTCAGAGAGCCACTATTCTCCACCTTGATCCTTCTAATTAGCTGTGACTGGATGGGGTAGGGTGAGTATGTTGTGTGTGTGTGGAGGGCGGAGAGCAAGAGAGGGACACTTCTAATTCATCTGAAAACAATTGCCTTTTTTCACAGATGTATTTGAGAGGGCCTCCGAAAACTAATTGAAATCAAACCAATGAATGAATCCTCTATAATAATAAAAGGGTAATATGCTAATTAGACCGGACGTCATTCCGGAGGTCCTTCCTGATGAAGCCGGGGCTGGGGAAAGCCAGCCTGTCCCGGGTGCTGGAGGGAAGCTGGTGCTGGAAGTGGGAGGTGGGAGGGCAGGGGTGGTGTGGGAGGCCTACTCTTGGAGGAATTTTCATGCACTGGGCCTCTAGTACACACACACACACACACACACACACACACACACACACGGAATGATTTTAAAATAACCCAGGTTTTTTAATTTAATTTTTCATTTTGAAATAACTTCAAACTTAATAGAAAAGTTACATGAATAGTACAAAACTTCTTTATACCCTTACAGATCTCCTGATTTTTAACATTTTGTCATATTTGCTTTATTATTCTCTCTCATATATGTATACGTGTATGTATATATATGTATGTATATGTAAATTTTTTCTGAGCCATTTGAGAGTATATTGCACATATCATGCCCTCTTACAATCTTTAATACTTAAGTACTGTATCCATTTCCTAAGAATAAATATCTTTTCTTTAGGTTACCAGAGTGGTTATATTCAGGAAATTTAGTATTGATGTAGTATTTAAACTACAACATTTTAATATTGTCCATAGTCCGTTTTCATCAGTTGTCCCAATTATGCTCTTTATTAGCTTTTTTTTCCTTTCCCTGATATACTCGCGGCCAGTGGTCGGCAAACTGCGGCTCGCGAGCCACATGCGGCTCTTTGGCCCCTTGAGTATGGCTCTTTCACAAAATACCACGTGCGGGCGTGCATGTACAGTGCAATTGAAACTTCGTGGCCCATAGTGCAGAAGTCGGTATTTTGTGGAAGAGCCACACTCAAGGGGCCAAAGAGCCGCGTGTGGCTCGCGAGCCGCAGTTTGCCGACCACTGCCTGACTAGCCACTCCAAGATCACAGGTTGTATTTAATTCTCAGGTCTCTAGTCTCTAATCTGGAAGAGTTCCTCAGTCTTTATCTTTTGTAACATTGGCAGACTAGTTATTTATAAGTGCCCCTCATTTTGGGTTTGTTTAAGATTTCTTCATGATTAGATTCAGATTTTGCATTTTTGACTGGAATACTAGATAAGTAATATGTGTTTTTCTATCATCTGGAGACACTTGATGCCTTTTTTTTTTTTTTTTACACCTTAACCAGGAAGTTTATTTTGATTGCTTAGTTAAGGTGTTAAGTAGTTTCTCCATTGTATAGTTAGTGTTTGTCATTTTGTCATGGTTAAGTAACTTGTGGAGAGATATTTTGAAATTGTGTAAATATTCTGTTCCTCATCAGACCGTCCTCTCAGAGACTTAGCATCTATTGATGATTCTTTCCTGAATAAATTTTTCCTGTGGTGATTGTGAATAGGACATGGTTTTTGCAGTGGTTTCTTTCCAGGTAATTGGAATTGTGGAAGTTTTACTTTCTTTTCTCTTCAGTTTTTTCTGTAATGCATATGGGTTGCTTGTGTAATCACAACAGATAAAAGAAAATTTGAGGGGGGGGGAAGTATTGATAATTTAGATAGTATCAAATAGTATTTCTGCATGGCTTTCTACACAAATGGGATTTATAATAGTTTCTTGAATGCTGGTCTTACTTGAAATCCAGAACACAGAAATTAAGTATTTAGACTGTTAAGTTATTTTTTTAATGATGTAGTTCTAATTCCTCATTTAGTTTTCAGAATTACTGCTAAATGAGCCCTGAGTTACACTTGTTTAGATTTATGATTTGCTACTAATGCTAGTAGTTTGACTTTTTAGACAAAGCTGAAAATAAGTATTTTAATTCTGGTGCTATTCCCCTTCCTTCATTAAAAACTTAAGGTAATTTTTTTTAAAATAAAATACACTTTTCTGAAATGATTGAGACAGGTGTTTGTTTTTTGTTTTTGTTACTCCTTACCTGAGGATAATTTTCCATTATTTATTTATTTATTTATTTATTTTTAGAGAGAATGGAAAGGAGGGGGAGAAACAGTGATGTGAGAGAGACACATCAATTGGTTGCCTCCTGCACACGCTCTGACCAGGGCCAGGGATCAAGCCTGCAACCGTGGTATATGCCCTTGACCAAAGTCGAACCCAGGACGCTTCTGTCTGAGGGCCCACACTCTATCCACTGAACCAAACTGGCTAGGGCGAGACAGGTGTTTTTGTTTGTTTGTTTTTAATATATATGCAAGACATTACTTTTTAAAAAGGGGTTGTTAAGGTGGTACGTTGAATACAGCAGAGCATCAAACATCTATTACTCTTACTTAGGACAAAGCATTGTATGTTTATTGAAACTTGTATATAAAGAAATACATACCCATTGGAGAAAAGTTAGGGACAAGAAAGGGACAAGAAACAAGGAAAACACTTATTTAGATTTTAATTATGTTATAATGATACTTTCATCAATTTGGGACATTTCTTTCAGTAATAGCAAAGTATTAGTAGTTAATTTGGATGTAATTTGAATTTTATACTGATTCAGGCCCTGGGTAACATATTGAATAAAAATTATTAGTTTAATTTCTTTGGAAATTTTCAGAGACTAGGAGAAGAAAATTTTGAGAATTGTGAATACTTGTAGAGTAGAGATTATAGTCTCTCAAATTTAAAATGGATTCTTCTGCAGTTCATAAATGTGATGATTGGGTATTTATGCTCTTCTGTGAGATGTGCCTCCCTTAAACCTAGTTATGACCTTGTTACCTGTCTGAAGTGGGGAAAACAAATTTAAAGATGTTTTTGTGAGAAAATTAAGATAAGCATATTTCAGAATAGTGAGTATTATGATACAGCAGATTCTTAGCATTATGTAGGTGCTTAAATTGGTTTAAAAGTGCCGAGACCGGTTTGGCTCAGTGGATAGAGCATCGGCTTGTGGACTGAAAGGTCCCGGGTTCGATTCCGGTCAAGGGCATGTGCCTGGGTTGCGGGCACATCCCCGGTGGGAGATGTGCAGGAGGCGGCTGATCGATGTTCCTCTCTCATTGATGTTTCTGACTCTCTATCTCTCTCCCTTCCTCTCTGTGGAAAATCAATGGGGTATGTTAAAAAAAAAAAAAATTGGTTTAAAACTTAGTTGAATCACCCTAGCTGGTTTGTCTCAATGGATAGAGTGTTAGCCTGCAGACTGAAGGGTCCCGGGTTCGATTCCAGTCGAGGGCACATTCCTGGGGCTGAGGGCTCCATCCCCAGTGTGAAGTGGTCAGGAGGCAGCCAATCAACGATTCTCTCATCATTGATGTTTCTATCCCTCCTTCCCTCTCTGAAATCAATAAAAATTATTTAAATAAAACTTAGTTGATTCAACTGTATTTGTCTTTAGAGAATGAAAGTTCAGTTTGTAGGACTGCCAAATCTCATCCATTGTTTCTTTTTTTTAAAAAAAGTATTGGGTGAAAGGTGCAAAAACAAATCCCATGATGAAGTAGAGAATTTTCTTTTTATGCCAGAACTTGTGTCTTGGACATGGAAAGTAGCACCCTGTTAAGTGAAATGGAAAAACTAGAGTCAGAATTGATTTATGAGATTTTTCCCCCCCAAAAAATGTTTTTATTGATTTGAGAGAGAGAGAGAGAGAGAGATCCATTAGTGTGATAGAGAAATATCAGCCAGTTGCTCCCATATGCACCCCGACTGGGATCGAAACTGCAACCTGGGTATGTGGCCTGACTGGGAATTGAACCAGCAATCTTTTGGTGCATGGGATAATGCTCAACCAACTGAGCCATATTAACCAGGGCTTTTGAGATCTTTTAGTTAAATACTTCTCATTGTGGGACATGTATTATTTACATGGAGTGCTTATTAAAAATGAACATTCTTGGGCCCCCATTCCACACCTGCATAATCACATCTAGTGGGGTCTTGAATTGGTATTTTAGTCTCAGCTGATTTTTATACTGTTCCAGCTCTTTCCTTTTATGCTACAAGTAGATTAAGCCCCAGGGAAGTTAAATAAATTTCCCAAGGTTGTGTAGTTAGAAAGTGGTTGGTTGAGGATTAAAATTTAGGTACTGCTAGTTGGTATTTTATACTTTTCTAAGAAACCATGTTGACTCTCCTCTTGAGACACTATTTTTTTTTTTTTTTTAAATATATTTTATTGATTTTTTACAGAGAGGAAGGGAGAGAGACAGAGAGTTAGAAACATTGATGAGAGAGAAACATCGATCAGCTGCCTCCTGCACATCTCCCACTGGGGATGTGCCCGCAACCCAGGTACATGCCCTGACCGGAATCGAACCCGGGACCCCTCAGTCCGCAGGCCAACGCTCTATCCACTGAGCCAAACCGGCCTCGGCGAGACACTATTTTTGGATTTTCTGAATAAGGAAACACTGATCTTTGTGCAATATCATGCGATAGACCATATATATTTAGTGCTTGTGTACATCCCAGTTTAAGATGATCTGATCTACTGGTTTCCACAACCCATGTGCTGTTTGGTTAAAGTCTTGGATTGGAATTATAGCAATACAAATTGGATCAAGTTGTGGTGAGCCTTGAATGCTAGGAGAAGAGTATGGACTCTGGGAAAACTACTGAAAAATCTGCTTCAGGGAGTGATATACTGTGACATGATAATCCTGCCCCTCCCCCCATTTCTTAAGATTATGAAAGTAATTACAAGAATTTACTAAAAAAACTCAAACAGTACTTTAGAGGCAGTATTGCAAAGAGCTTAAGAGTAGAAACTGTAGGACCACAGTGCTTTGGTTTGACTGCACTCAAATCAGGTTGCACTGCTGTGTGACCTTGGGCAAGTTACTGAACTTTATGTGCCTTAGTTTTTTGATCTACAAAATGGAGATGATAATAAAGTCTTCCTTACAGAGTTTTTTGAAAATTCAGCTAGTTAATTTGTGTAAAATTTGTAGAGCTGTAGTTGTTTCTGGAAAAAAGTGAGTCTCTGATTCTCATCCCTAATGTTTCTCAGATGCTGGGTGTTAGGTCTGATCAAATAATTGAATCGATACCCCCTCCCCTGAGAAGCAGACCTTTAGATCATTTTGCAACAACATTCCCTTTTGCTTAGACCACATTTCACTTGCTAAGACCATTATCTTTTTCCTCCGGACTTTCCCAGGATCTGGACAGCCCAGAGAGTTCCCCAAAAACCTTCTCATCCTTGTGTGCTGGCGCCATTTTGGGGCTCAGCCCATCTAGTTTTGTAGATGATGTAATAAACATAAAATTCTTACCACTTTTGGCTTTGTGCGTACCTCCTTCGGTGACCCTGGCACTGAGGTGATCTCTATTTATAGTATTTATATATTTTTCCTATAGTGCTTTATGTAGATACTGTAGAAGTTCCTTACCCTTCATTTAACCAAACTACAGGACTAATATTCCTTTAAAAAAATTTTTGTTATTGATTTCAGAGAGGAAGGGAGAGAGAGATAGAAGCATCAACTATGAGAGCGCTCCACACGGGATCGAGCCTGTAACCTGGGCTATATGCCCTGACAGAATTGAACCATGATCTCCTGCTTCATAGGTTGACGCTCAACCACTGAGCCATGCTGGCCGGGCTCAATATTCCTTCTTTTAAAAATACTAATGCCTGCCCTGGCTAGTGTGGCTCAGTTGGTTGGAGCGGGTTTGATTCCTGGTCAGGGTACATACCTAGGTTTTGGGTTTGATGCCTGGCTCCAGGATTTAAAAAAACAAAACACCCACAAATACCCATTGCATGTTGAATGATGCAAACTAATCTTTGCTGTTCCCACTGTTGAATAGAATGCTTATAGAAGTCATATGATTGTTCCTAAATTGACTTATCCTATTGTACTTATATTGTGTTTATATTATTTAATTAGATATTACATAAACCAATGGTATGAGTGTGAAGAGAGAATTGTTTAAATAAAAATGAAGTTAAATGCTTTGGGAAACTAAATAAATTAATTACTGAAGAAAATTGTTGTTGTTAAGTATCTGTAAGCTTCTGGTCAGATGGCAGTTTAGGGATATTGTGATTCATGGTATTAGGTAAAGTATTTAGCCCTGGCACTTAATAAATGGTGGCTTTTTTTTTTTTTAAGTTAGATATGGGTAAGATAGCTAAAAGATTATGGGGAAAAATAATAAAAATCTGGAAGGAAGTCTGCATTCACATTACTCTACAAGTGTCTAATTGATTGTCTGCCTTGAAATACTCTAAAACCAAAAATCATAATTTTTTTATGATTCTTTGTTAACTGTTTAATGAACTCACATATTCCTAGCTCCTATTTTTAATATGTAAATTTCTATTTTTTTTTTAAACTAAAAGGGGATGGATCCTTTGATATTCTGTAACTGTCTTTTTCATTTAGTATTTTGGGAATCTGAAAATTCTTTTGTAAAATCTGACTCTGGTTTGTCTAGTGGGGACCATATCTAGATGAAATGACAGGTTTTATTTGGAATCTAACAGATACATTCAAGTGTCAAGGTTCAATAACTTTTGCTATCTTGTGAGATTTAAATTGTTCTCTTCTTTTGGACCATTCTAACTCTAATAATATAAACTAGATTCATTTACTGACAAATAGTTAAATGCCCTCTATGTGAAAGTATCATGGTAGCTACTAATTTTGGCTTGCTGATTTTGCATGTACTTCCTAAGTGAAGTAACTGATGACTGTGTTGGCTAATATCTCTAAACTAGAGGCCCAGTGCACGAATTCGTGCACTGGTGCAGTCTGGCTGGCCCACCCTGTTTGGGGTTGATTGGGCTGGGCTGGCTGGGGAGAGGGGACATGGGAGGCTGGCCGGCTGGTGGGGAGTTCCAGGGCATGTCCAGCCCGTCTCACTCAGTCCTGATCAGTCGGACCCCAGAAGCAAGCTAACCTATCGGTCAACTATCTGCCCCCTGGTGATTAGTGCATGTCATAGCAAGTGGTTGAGCGGCCTTAGCATATCATTAGCATAGTAACACTTTGATTGATTGAATGGCTAACTGGACAACTGGACATTTAGCATATTAGGCTTTTACTATATAGGATCAGTTTGTAGAGTTTTTAAATTTTAGCCTATAATTGTTTGGTGTATTATAACCTAGTTGCTATATGTTAGTAGTAACCTATTATACAGTGATGCAGTAATTGCTTAATTTTGAATTCCAAGTTAATACTGGTAATTTTAACTTGGAATTCCAAAGTATTATGGAAATGGCATGATTGTGCCAAAACACAAAAGTTCTTTGTGTAATTACTTTCAGAATACAAATCTGAGATACTGTGATATTTATTCTTTAAGTTTAATCTAGAGTGATGGTTGATATTTAAAAAGAAATTTCTTCTGATACAGCCTAAACTTATCACTTACAGGGAGTTAAAAGTTTACACCTCTTACCTCCTAAAGTAAATGGTTCATTAAGGATTTGGGGGAAAGTATTTAATAAGAGTGGCTAGTTAGCTCAGTACATGTTGATTATTTTTTTTATTAACACATAACCTCTTCATAGAAAGTTCTTTAAATGAAGTTTGAAAGTGAAAGAGGGTGTAAGCTTCTCTCATAACAGATATATCGGTCACTTATAGCACTCATTGTAATTACTAACTTCATTCTTGATATTTTTCCTTTTATTGTAAATTTTCTCAGTGATTATATGCCTTGTGCAAGATAGGCTACTTTAAAAGCCTGTTTTCAACAAGATGCAAAATAAGTTAATGAACTTCCAGATTTTTGTTTTTTTATTTATATTAATATATAAAGAGGAAGAAGTGA